GGGTGAAGTGTTGAGGAATTTCCCATCGGAAATGGAATGTGAACATGAAGTGTGCATCAATTGTTTGGCTAAGACGCTTGACGAATGCGAGCACAACAGTAAGTTCCCAGAACGCGGTCAAGATAATCGTTAAATGCAGCGTTGTCGCGCGCGGCGCATATTGCGACAATTGACGCGGCGGTCCGAGTAAGATCGGCTAAGAGAGCAAATATCCTTAACTCCTCTACAGATTCTCTAAGAGTTCATGTGAGGAAGTGGTATATGCGACTGCGAACTATCTAGTTGCCGCACGCCGCAGGTAGTATCGTTGGCCACGCCCAGCAGCGCGGTGGATTGATAATGCTTTGGCACACACCCACGATGGCCCCTCCCCGTACAGGAGTGGTCCTAGAGAGCCAGACAGGCAGAGTTGACGCGACCAAGTCCCGCTGTGTACCCTGTCCCTTTGCCCTCTCTTGCAACGCCTTAGTAGCAGTGGGCAAGATCGCTGAAGGCGCCCTCATTGGTGGAAGAGCCGCGAGAGGGTGGCGCGCCCCATTCAGCTCGTCCACCAATGAAGTCGGGGACAACCGCCCCTCCCCTTGGCCATCGTGCGCACTGCCTTCAATGCTTCCTAATTGTACAATGGCAGTATTGCTTTACTCTCCGCTGACGCGTATCAGGGGGGGGGGAGGACTGGGTTTGACGCAGTCAGTTTTCTATCAGTTGTGATCACCTGCCCTCGTAAAACATACGTATCGACCGTGAACAAGTCCTTTTCGTTCTGCAAGTAGTCGTATCCAACAGTTGCCTTTTCAAACTTATCTCGAGTTGGCGGCTACATTATTGGGGAGGATGGGGCGGGGGCGGGAGGGGGGAAGGGGTCGTCGCCTTCGCATCCGTCTCCCTAACCAAAACTTAGGTATGGGGGGTGGAGTTATGTCCTTCTCCTGCGAGACTTTCAACTCTGGTCGTGCGCCTATCTCAAACCCATTTGGGAGGAGCGCAACGCGCGCGTGACTCTCGCAGTAGTTAGCCCCGGCCGAGCACGTTTGACGAAGTTTGCGCAGAGGTCGAGTTTTTAGCAGATCCCCTATATTGCCCAATATGAAGGGCTGCCCGTTTAACCGGTACGTTTGTGATCGGCTCCCTCGTCATTGCGAGCACTGTTTCCAAGACGCAGCCGCATAGTTTCAGCCCGTTTGATCTGGATACGCATTATTCTGGGAGCTGGGAAGGATGAACGTATTACGGTAAATGCATTTTTCTGGGGCGTTGAATTTTTGTTTTCCTTTGACGAGGATAGGGCGGCTCTCACTAGCCCATCCCAAATAGTTGTTATCGATTTGGGGGCGCGCCGTTCTATGGCGGAGAATAGTCGAGCTATGAGTGAGCCGTTGGGTGGCACTTCCAGTGAACGTGCCCCATTTTGGAGCATTTTTGGCTGTGATTGTGGCAGTATAAAGCAGTTTCAGCCCATATCGATCCAAAGAAATGCTAAGCTACAGAAAATCGAATTAAAGGTAAGTAACTTTAATATTTGTTCGTCATCACTTTTACCCACCTTGCCTGTTAAAGGTTGGTTCTGCCAAAGAACGACAGAAAACCAGTCACTCTGCTTGGAATTGAGAAGCGGTCCTCTAGTGATCTGATCGTGAAATCCGACGCGTCTAAATATGAAACACCGATAAGGTAAGAGTAGTCAAGACGGTCTAGGAATGTAGCTTCGGATCTCCTGTCCACGATGAGCCGTTAAGGTTTATGGATATTTCCGACGTGATGCGGACGACGAAAAGCAGCTCGACATCAGCCCAAAGCTGATTCAAACACCGGTTGACAAAATTGGGATCACAAAGGTATAGTTCAGCATTGTCATAATTATTCAGCACTTCTCCAGAGCTGACATACCGGACTAAGTACAGTCAGCTTTATCATCCGAGGATCGCGAGTCTCCACGTGCGTTCAGATTTAGCAATGGCGTGCGCCGCAGCTCGAGCGCAATCAGTCGTGGGCAATGTCGCATCCGAACCCTTTACAATCCTGAATGGAGGTAGAATGCGTGGCGCATCCCTAAACCTCAATGTACAGCCGGATCCTGAATACTTCCTTATCGAATGAGGGTTTCACTTACCGAGTTCAGTCCGACCAGGTGACTCGATCAAGTCCAGAATTAGAGCCTGGAGATCCACACCCGACTTCTTGACGCGACATTCCCTAGCTTAGGCTGCGTACACACTTTTCGGCGTGCCCACCAGCGACTAATAGCGTCCACCAGCGTTCCGATGTCCGGCATCGTCAGCGACTTAGAAAGTGGAGATGTCGATCTAGCGTCTGCCAGCGTCCACCAGCGACCAGCAGCGTCTCGAGGGCTAGGGAAGTATAGGTATCGATCTAGCGTCTGCCAGCGTCTACCAGCGTCCACCAGCGACCAGCAGCAGACTGCTGGTAGAGAGTATGGTGCGATAGGAAGGTACCAGCTGTCTGCTACCCTTCTATCGCGCCATACTCTGTACCAGCTGTCAGCTAGCCTACTATCGCCCAGTCTACTCCCGGATGCTGCTGATCGCTGGTGAACGCTGGCAGACGCTAGATCGATACCTGTACTTTCCTAGTCGCTGGCGCTGCCAAAAGCTTGGAACGCTGGTGGAGGCTGCCGCAAAGTATGAACGCAGCCTCACTCGACTCAGCGTAGCTCTTTTAGCACATCGCGTCGAATAAATGGGACCAAGGTGCAAGTGATCTGCACGGAAGCCACTTGCAGCGTCACTTTCGTCACGCCGCCGCTTCTCATATGTACTGGCCCGAAACTTTCTCCAGGAAATAGATGTGAAAATGTCCTGTCCTTCAATGGTGCCCCCTCAGATTGATATGAGGATGCGTTAAAGGAGGTGCTTTCAATTGCAATACTATATTTCAGGACACACCTCATTATCTCGTGAGAACTCTACCGGTATTGTGAACAGCAAGCTAAGCGCTAAGAAAAGTAGTTCGCTTCCAGGAGTTCCAAAGAAACAGTGATCTCTGAGATTTCTAAAAATATCACACAAAGAACGTTCATAATCAACAATTTTTCTAATTCTTTTTATTCAGTGTTTTGAAGAATAAAATTTTAGGTGTTTTATGTTTATGCCTGTCTTGTAAGGAAATTGAAGGCACCCTCAACTAAAATCAGATGGGTGGAAGACAGCGCCCGCAAAGCGCATTTCATTGGTCCTGTACTTCCCATTTTCTCAGGTGGTGATTCGGATTTTATGAGCCAATGTGAGAATTGGCTCTGATGTCTCGTAACATCTCACGATCTCGGAAAGGGTGGGGGGGGGGGGGGTTGCGTTCTTCATGTGAACATGAGCGTTGGATGCATCTCCGGGGACTACTCCACATGTGAAGGCAAGTTTACTGCATGTTTCACTGGACAAATACGTTACTTTCCAGCACCGTTTCGCCGAAACGGAATTTTTTTAGATGACAGGTATAGCAGCAATAGCGACCCCCACTCTACCAGAGGAGGGTCTCCGGGTACGAGCCTGCCTCTCGCCTTCAACCTGCCTACCACGTTTCCTACACGCGTTCCCAACCTCCTAACCGTTTTTCGCGGAAATTCCGCCACATTTTCCAGCTTTTTCACCCGCAAGAAACATTTTCCGATCGAGGCGAACAGGAAGGGGGGGGCCGACAAGGAGCGCAGTGGTGAAAAGCGCGAAAACTCCGAAAGTCGAAGCGCAACCTGGTAACGCTCACTTCTTCCTCTCACCAGTTAGAAAAGCTCTACAAATAAGAGATGTTCGTGTTTACTTACAGATTTCGCGTGTCCCTTGTGATATGCGTGGCCTGTACACTTGTTGGCTAGAGGGCGGGGCTTTCAGTCCGGTGCCATTGGTGGAATAGCGTTGGACGGTGCCTCTCAGCCTCTGGCGAGTAGGGAGTTAGCCCAATGGATTCCAGATTACTTGGAGGATCCCTAGCGAGGTGCGCGAAATAGCGACTTTTCCCCTATTTCAAATGGATTCTCTCTCAGGCGAGGACTGGCCTTGAGAAGCAGGAAGGAATCATGACTTTCCTATCCTCCACGCGACCGAAATACGGCCCCGGCTGTCCCCCTTTTTTATTCGCCGCGCACGACTTACCTGATCAGGGGTGCATCTCACTTGGTCCGTGAGAAGGTCCGGGTCGTATCTCGCCTTTGATAAATTTTCCAGCAAGCCGCCTGCTCTCCTTCTTTCAATGCTTCCCGAATATGATCACATCTCCGAACTTTATTTTCCAGCATGGTCCGCGAACTTCTCCTTCCACGAAGAGCTCCCATATGTCCTCCTAAATTTTCACTTGCAGTACGGCCCTCCCCCCTCGCCATCCCTCGGTACTGTAAGCAATGAGAATCGTAATTCGTCCCTGCAGTCTGACGTCGCGTGGCGACCACCGTCCAAGGCGCCTCTTACATAACGGAAGGATGTCGGGTGGTATTTGGGTTGAAAACAGACTAATGGTATGAACCAAAATGGACACAAGTGTCGCCTATCCTTGTCTGCAGCCGAAACGCTACGGTTTAATCAACAAGGCCAGTGCGCAATCTGAGGAAACAGTCGCGCTCATTGCGCGCGCGACAAAGCGGCATTTACGATTCTCTTGCCCGTCTCCCACGCCCCCCCCTCCCCAAAGTGAACCGTCTTTCTCAGGAGCTCCCAGATTTCCTCTTGCAACACGACCTCCAAATTTTTTGTCCCAGTATGAGCCCCTGAACTTCCTTCCTCAGAAGGAGCCCTGTTCCAGTGTGACAACCACTTTCTTACCATTAGAAACCATAAACCGTACCGAAATCTTTCAGCTCCCTATCACTTTTGCAAACTTACCGGCTTCTTCAAAAAACCGGTGTCCAACGGGAAGGGGGCAACAGCTCCCTACCGACCAAGGGACTACCGACATCACCATTTCAGACATTCCATGCTGTACCCTGAGCCCTGCCCCTTTTACCAGCTAGGTGGTTGGCAAAACAAAGCACTAGGTATGTGGTGAACAGGTAAGGTAAAAGTGACCCTAAATTACTATAAAAATAGCTGCTATATGGATTCTTAAGAGGAAAAAAGTCTGCGATGTCTCGCAATCAGTTGGCAATATCGAGTAAATATTTCAGACCCCAGGTTCCTTATCATTTGTGCGGATCACAAAGGAGTAAAGCATGTGTACATTCCTCAGGCGCCTTGTCGTGAATCTACAACTCTTTGAGAAAAATCTCGAAGACGAGCCGCTTCCCCATTTCCCCCCCCCCGCTTCGGTCGTCTATTCTTCAGTCAGTAACGGCCAGCTTGTGCCTAGAAGCTAAACTATATCTTTGAACCTCATCTCAACCCTTATTTTGAAGGTTTTGTATGTTCAGCCTTTCCTTCCTACCCGCGGCCTTTTCTACCGCTGGTTGTTTTCCACATGAACCGGGCATTATTGGTAGAAATCGCAGCCGAGGAGGGGCTCATCGCACACCTACTGACACCGCTCCAACTGATGGCTACGACATAAACGACACTTTATTCACCCAGTTGTATCCGATTTCATGCCTCCAGCAGCCTTGTTGGTAACAGTTGATTTCCTTCCACCTGACTACCCTAAAGGCACAATAGTTCATGGTAGTATGTTGCAGGTAGTGGGGTCCAGTAATGAATTTGCCATTGCTAGATGACCCACTAGTGAAACAAGCAAAGTAACTGGCTGAACACGCCTGAAGTCTCATTCTTGCAATTGTTTTGGAGCATTGTAAGGATGACCGTACAACCGGGCGTTCGGACAATAGAGACGCGAGACAGAGGAGAGAGCACTTTGCCTCAGCGAGATAGCAGTTTATTTGCAACACCTGAGCAAGGGCGTATACTACCTGAACGAGCGCCGACAGCGTCCTCTTCACATGCGCCCTCGTGCCTTGCCACAGCAGTGCTCGGTCATCGAAACGGCGCATTCTCTGCAGTTGCGGACCTACTCGCCCAAAACACGGGAAGCGTCGCACATCCCGACTAATTGTGGGATTTGCGTCTTCAAGTCATTCCACCAGCTATCATTCTTGCGTTCTTGGCAGTAGGATCAAGGTAAGCCAATAGAACTGACGCGATTTTCACCGGGGGGGGGGGTGAGCGGTCGGCTACTCAATGCGAGCGACCGTAACATGTGTCTAAGCTAATTGGAGAAGGAGTAGGACTCTGTTTTCAGTTCTTTTTTTGCTGGGACCTGTTGTCGAAGAAACTTCGATCTGAAAGCTGGAATGTGCATCACGGTTTTTTGCATCCGCTATTTTGTTGAAAAATGACCGTCACTCCTGTCTTTGGTTCGAGCGACTCGCGTCCATCACGACTAGTGGTCCTAGCACCCGGGATTTTCTATTGTGGCAGCGCTCTGGTGGGCAGGATAAATCCGTTGCGCCCATGCAGCGTGACCACGCGGCTGGTCCCTTAGCGCAATGACTTCGCACGTTTCTTTTTGTTCTTTCTATTTAGAGCGGTTTTTTGCTTTTCTTGAACATTTTTTTTGAGTTACTTGCAATCTGTTGTCGAACGCTCGTCGGGTGCATGGAAGGGGAGGGACATCTTACAAGACTCCTAGTGAAGAACTACTAGGCACCACTGAGAATATGAGCGTCAGGTGTTGAATAGGCTTCATGGGAGCGGTGTTCAGCGTGGAGGTCATCGGAAAGTGGCGGTAAGTTCTATGATGAGTGACGGTGTCCTCAGGACAAGAAGGTCCCTAGGTGCCCATTCGAGTCAGAGCACCGCCTAGAAACTGTTTTGATAATTTATATGGGCTCAGTGCACGGGGGGGGGGGCCAGTGAAGGAGCACTCCGACGCAGCCGAGAATGTCTCGAAGCCCCTCGAAGTTATGATTGCACCCTACCGCAAATTTCTGAAGGTAATTGAATCGTGTGTTTTCAATCGCATCTCGATGGACATATAGAAGCGCGAGCCGTAAAATTTTAATCGGGCTGCTTTTAGGCCAGTTTTCGCCACTGCGTTTATGTGTTGTTGCTTACCCAACTCCTGCGTAAAGTCCTGCTGTCGTCACTTACTGTAACAGTTATTTTGTTTATTCACTTTTTCCACTAAGTGTCAGTGCCCCCAAAATACCTGATCAATAGCCGCAGCTAAGCAAACAAATGCGAAACTCAAAAGACTGTTATGACATAAGAAGGTTTTTTGTTCTTAAAAAGTGGGATCGATACAACGAGTAGCGACAGAAGTAGTCAGTCCTGCACTTTCGAGGTCAAGCAGGTACTTCCAGGTGCTGTTTGACCACGGCCTCTGGGTGTTCCTTGAACACCACAGCGACGCCGTTTGGCGCTATACATGTTGTCGGAATTGGTCTGTCCCAGCTGGTTTTCTTTCTTGAAAGTGAGCCGTCTGTTTTGCCGAAGTTCTCTGCAGCTTCTAAATTTTTTTTAACATTTAAGGTCTTGCCTGGCAAGGAAGGGTCTTCTGATTGGGGTCTAATCCTTGATTGGCTTTGGCTTCGTTCAGGTTTGAGTCGGCCGCTAAAGAACATCTCCACAATAATCCCCTTCCTTATTCTCCTTCCTTCACATGCTTGGCCAGAAAATGCAACGGGAAAATGCGAATGGACCCTCCCGTTGAGGGAGTATGCATTTGACGACGAATGTTTTCTCTTTTAGCATTTTAGCTTTACTTATTGCAGAAGAGCACAGAGAAGAGACTGTGAGTTTTCGCTCAAGTCGTGGGGATAAGAAGGTCGGGGCCGGATGGACCACTTCACGCAGCTCTGCGCTTGAGCATAAACATTTGGCGATAGTGAAGTCCAAGGAGGTCACGCTTCAAGGATAGGGCGACCACGAAGTCTCCATTTGTTTGCACTCATCTTCAAAAAAGTGATCTCTCCTTCCGCTATCAGCATGCTTAAATAGGGGCGACAACCAGGGTTGTTGCAGCCTGGTGGCGCCACATCCTTCTACTCTCGAACCTAGTGAGAGAAAACAGTTTGCCGATGATGTGACCTGGTATATTTACGCGTTGTTGACCGCATGACACTCATG